AGATACCAATAGCACCTGGAGGGTAACTGTTCCTCAGAGAGGGGGAGAGAGAGAAATATTTTGCCCAAAAAGTAGTATGCCTGGTCAAATCATACCATTGCAGGAAGGCTTCTACAAAGTCTGCCTAAAACCAGGACACTCTGATTCCCTTTACAGTTTTTTTTTTTTTTTAAGTAAACCTGTAAAACACAGTGGCCACTATACTTTAAATCACCAGAATTGGACAGTTATATCATTTCTAAAGGTAAATAGAAACATCCTGACATAATCACCTCAGGAAAGACAGATACTGGGCCAGTGAGATGGCTCCATGGGGAAGGGAGCTTGCAGCCAAACTTAATGATATGAGTTTGAGTCCTGGGACACACGTTGTGGGAATGGAGAGCTAACTCTTCTAGTTTGTCCTCTGACATATGCACTGTGACCCAACTGCACACACACATATATACACCAAAATACATAAATGTAACTTATAGATGAAAAAATTTGTATTAAAAGGGAGATGGGTAAAAAGGCTCTGCAAATTTATGTTCACAACTTACTGGCAATTTTGCTTCACGAAAGTAAACAGTCTTAATCCAGATAAATATTTTGTAAGCTATGCAAACACATACAATGAGAAGAATATCTGTATTATAAGAAACTGCTATGAATGGGCATGGTGATGCATGCATTTAATTCTAGCATGCACAAGGCAGAGGCTGGCAGATCTTTGCAAGTTAGAAGCATGGTCTACATAGTGAGTTCCAGCCAGCCAGGGTTACACAGCAGGGGGAACAGGTTTCTAGTTACTGAACATTTCTGAGTGCCGGTTTTTTTTTTTTTTTTACTCCAAAAAAAAAAAAAAATCTACTCTATGGGTTTGTAATACAGTTAATGAACTACTTAAATACATAGATATGCTTTGTAAACATTTAAAGGACCAAAAATAGAAGGTGTAGTTAAACGTTTGAAAATTTTATTTGAAAGGTGTAAATTAAACCTCGGTTTAATCTACACCCAAAATCACTTGACAGTTATATTTATGTGGTAGACACTATGGAGAATGGAAAGGCATTCAGTTAGGATCCAGCTACATAATATTGATTCCAACAGCAAAACATTAAATAGCTTTTAAAGTGCTCTGTTTTCCCATCAGTGCTAAGACAAGACTGGACTGTCAAATTCTCAGGAATATTTAAGGCAGAGAATCTGAGCAAGGACCAGTATTTAACCATGTAGCCACAGTTAATATGTAACAGTCTGCAACAGAAACATCAAGCCACTTCCCATATACAATCTCTTTTCATCCCCACAAAAAAAACACTTCAAGGTAGGTATTAACATTCCAAGTTCGTTCCAAGTAGCCCAGGAGAGTGAAGCTTGGGTTATGTGGTCTTCCCAAGATCCTGATGAGGGGGTGCTGGATTCAGCCAGGTCTGCCACACTCTCAAGATCACGACCTCAGCTGCCATGTCATCCAGGCACACCTTGCAAGGGGCCACACTCTCAAGGACTTGGGCTGTCATTACACATCACCAAGAGACTTTCGCCTACCTTCTTTGAGTCTGCCGTCCTCTGCGGCTGATCCATTTGGAAAAATGGTCTTGACAAAAATGCCCATCTGGCCTCGAATGCAGTCTCGGCCTCCAGCAATGCTAAAGCCAAGGCCCTGTGTTCAAAGTAGACAGTGGACAAGAGTCCAGGTTGACACTACAGAATGTAACTGCAAAAACCTTTCCCACTGTAGTATTTGACTGAGGTAACTTTTCTTCTCAGGCTTGGAGTTTAGTTAGGCAATTAGCTTCAAATTCAAGTTTTCCTTCCCCATTTCCCACCTTAGATGTAGTGCACTAGGCCTGTGCCAAATTAAAGGAGGGATTTAGGTTGAACATCTGAAATTTCTAATTTTTGACAGTCTTTGACTCCAAGAATCAGTTTCCCACTGATGAGCAAAAGGGCTCTTCAAGCCTTTCACACCTTTCGGTTGCCATATTTGTTTCAGCTTTTCCATTTTGTATGATGCCAAAGTGGGTATTTTAATATTGATATAACATCAAGTTATTTGTATATTTATGTAATGGCAAAGCCATGAATGTCACTCAAAATGATAGAGGGTGCTGGTGGTATATTTCTTCCCATAGGGAAAAAGATTTGGAAACCGAACCAAAAACATTGGAAGATCATTCTTTCCATCCTTGCCTTCCACCCTAGTATCTATGGAGAGGCTGGCAACTCCCTGTATCAAGAAGGGTGTGCCAGCCTCTCACTGTGAGGGTCACAAAGAAGGAATGCCAGGGAAGTTATATTATCCCTCTTGATAGTTGTTATTTTTTAATGTAAAAACAAAACCAAAATAAAAATGAACTACCTAAGGAACACACTATCACTCACCTGGAAGGCAAAAGAGTCTGCAGAAACTAACTCACCTTGCCTTTCTCTTTGTACAGCCCGATGATGGAAATAACGGATGGCCGAATGAGCCGCCACGGAGATTCCACGTGGGTGGTGCTCAGAGAGCGGGTAGACTTCTTCACAATGTGGTATTCCTGAAAGCCAGCACAAGGCAAGACCAGATATTTTCACTTACCCTGCTGTGGGCACGGGCATACAAAGAGAGACTTTGAAAATTTCAGCTGGCTTTTGTGTTAGCAATTCCCCACTGGTCCATCTGTGGTCTTCTGGCTTAAAGAAAGTTTATTCTAAATGCTACTGGAGCAGAGCCTCCCGCTGCTGTGTCTTGCCATACCTGCCCCATCACAGAGGGATGCTAAGTGACCCCAAGCACCTGTGTCACTCTGTCCTCAACCATATGTCACAGATCCTTCTGGAATGGAGTCAGGAGAACAAAGATGACCACCGTAGGGTTGGGCTCTTGGAAATCTCTCCCACCCCCACCTTTAGTTCAAAATCATGTTTAAAATGTATCTCACCATTTTAAGCTTAATTTACTCATTCAAAAAACTCAGCAAGCCCATGTTTCTTATAACCTGCAAACCACAAACCCAGCAACTGTTTTTCTACATAAGATACCCTGCTGAGAAACGGCAGCCGTTTCAGCTCTAATCCTTCGTATTTGGAAAAATCAAATACTTTCCCATAAGCCACACTTTCCCCTTCTGGCCAGCAGCTCCAACCTCAATCTCCCTTTCATGCCCTCACCCATGATATTCTTGTGTGTCAGCAGAATGCATACTGATAACATAATCAAGAGATTAAGTGACTACTGCTAAAGGGAGTCTTTAGTTCTCTGACTCCCTCTTAGAATAATAAATGTCTTATGTGGTACAGATATCATAGTGCAAGGGGAAAATAGCATTTCATGTTTAATAGGAGAAAAGAGCCATCACAAAGATAGTTTTTTTCCCTGATTTGTGTCTACTTCATTCATATGTAGGAATGAGATGTTCCTTCTGGCCAGGGCTATTTTGCATCCATCTCCTGTCGGCTTAGAAGAATTGTACTTGCGTTTTGACAGATTATCTGCCAGTAACATGCGCTGCCCAGACTTGGTCTCATTAAATAAATGATGTGGGCTTGGCAAGTGTTACCACCCATTTACTGAAACCACCGCAGATCGCGCCAGACTCAGCCTGTGGTTTGCCAACCCTCAAACACAGAGGTTCATGTATGATACCCTTTGGGGACTCCTTTCTCTGGTCACCAGTCTTCAGCCGTGCTTCATGCCACCTCTCTTGGAAACAAGCCGAAACCAAAGGCCTGTGTGCTCTGTGTGGCTTTTTAAGGGGTCACTCTGCATTGTGTAGACCTGTGCTATCTAACAATGCACTACCCACTGGCCTCCAGTGGCTCTGGATTAAGGCTCACCACAATTAAAATGCACTCAACTCCTCAACTCCACCAGTGCATGCTCCAGCTAAGACACATGTGGCTGCCATCTTGGATGCTACAGGCACAAACCACTTACACCTATGCCCAAAGTTTTACTGGGTAACTCTACACTGGGCAGCACTTTTGAGTGGAAGAAAAAAGGGTGTGTGTGTGTGTGTGTGTGTGTGTGTGTGTGTGTGTGTGTGTATGCATGTAACCTGGGAGAAAAAGAGAAGGGCTGAAGGTAAGAGAAAGGACAAACTAAAGAAGGGAAAACTCTTTGGTAAGACTTTCTACCCCAGCACAAGCTTCCTGACTCTGGGGGGCCTGGCTAGATGGGTGTTTCTGGGCTATAAAACATGGACATGAGTGTGAGGGCTCAGTCATGATGGAAGTAAACCCTGGCTTCTCTCTCACCCTCCAGCAGCCCAACAGTGAGGTTCTACAACCACTTCCTGGTCTTCCTCTGCTCTCATGGGTTCCATGGGTCATTCAGAGGAGGCCACAGACCTGACTCTTTCCTGTTGTTGGTCTAGATGAGATTGAACAGATCCTATTCAATTCTTTATCCCTTGTTCTCTCAGCACTTCCCCCATCTCAATCTGCCTTGCAGTGAATTCAACATAAAAGCCAATCAGCACCCACTTTGACACATGGCCTTGCCCATTCCACCCCATCAGGTAAAGGGCAACAGAAAAAACAAAAGCCATAAATACTTGATCTTGACACCATAATTGACTATAATCTTTCTTCAGACATTCTGGCACATAACCTTGAGTAAAATATTTAGCCATTTTTGAGCTTCAGTTGTTCTACCGGCAGAGCAGTCATAACACACTAAAAGTAAGGGTCCAAGACCCTTAGACTCCTATGAGTCCCCAAATGTGATATTAGGGACAGCACTGCTGCTGGAACCTCATCTTCTAGCCCTGTTTTCCCAATAGGTCTGGGGGTGAGGTGGGGGGCACTAGTGATTTCTTGTTTGCCTCATGGTACCAGGACTTAAAGAACCCCTAAGTTCCCTGGAGACTGAGCCTACTTCCAAGTTGGTTGTGAACCTGTCACCTAGTTTCCAGCGAGCCAGGGACAAGATAACAGCGGAGGCAACCAACACCTATTCAGGGTTGTAGAGACAGAGTTCTTGACAGGAACAGGCTCTTTAATGCTAACCACCTACTTTGGTCCTCTACAGTGAACCTGATCCTGACTGTTGGAGTCATCACCAGATAGCAGGTAAGACCCCAGGCATAGTATAGGCACACATGATTGTACTCACCCACACAGTTGTTAGTCTGACACACGATGCTCCTATTAAATAAGCAATAGTGGTTTGCCACAGACTTTGAGACGCCATTGTCTCCTGGCAGTTGAGAGCAATTCTTAGTTCCAAAACACACAGCATGAAGAGAACCAAGATGCTGAGATTGATTAAGAGATATTTCCCCACTTTCTTCAACCCTGTAGCTGGCTTCCTTCTAATCTTCCTGGTTAGACCCCACATTCTCTCCATGGCTCTAGTGCTCTCTCTAGGCCCAAATATTCATGACCCTTATCAGTGGGAAGCTCTTCTGACCAGGGGTCCACAGAGGTCTTTGGAAAGAAATGAAATGTACTCACACACACACAAACAATCTTGGAGACAGGGTTTGCAAATCTGTGCTTTGCAAACACAGATTTAACCAAGTAATGGTGTCTCTAACCAAGTAATGGTGACCATGAGTGAACCAAAGGCCCCACAACCCGGGATTAACCTGTGATGTCCCAGTAGAATCCAGGAGCTGGGGAAGAGAGTGCTTCCGGCCATCTCTGGAGACCTCCAGCATCCTGATCCTAGGGTCTCCATTTCGTACCATCAGTTCATTATATTCCTCAACAGACTCTAGGCGGTGGACACCTCCTGCAACAAAAAAATGGTGGAGGCAGGACTTGATAAGGCCTGAGAACCAAACAGAGTATTAACAGAACCAAAAGGCCTAACCATCACATTGACAATCATTATGTGGTTTTAGAAGGTCTAGAGCTGAAGATGCACAAAGGACCAAGTTTGCCCACGCCTAGCACCAGGTTCTGCTAAGCCTGTTGTGCTCAAAGAAACTGATGCTGAGCTACAGAGAAACTAGGAGTTTCTGAAGTGACAAGACTGCCTAAGGAAGGAGCAACGTGTGTGTTGAGTCCAATGCAGGGGTGTGGAAGCAGCATAAACTAGTAAGGGGGCATAGGCAGGTGGTCTTTTAGAGATGGTGGAGCATCACTCTATGGTTGCATGGTCTCACTGCTGGGTGGATGCCTTCTCCATATACAATACTGACTTTTTTTTTTTTTCTGAGATGTACAGTTCATACAGGTCTTGCTCTGCAGATGAGCTGGCCTGGAATTCAGAATCCTCTTGTGTTTTGTGACTTCCAACCCCTGAGTGCTAAAATAACTGGTATGTACAACTGTGCCTGGCTTAGTAGAGACTTTTTAAAAATCATTTTAAAATTAATGTTTATTAAGTATAACTTAAATGTGCACAAAAGCACATGAATGAAATTTTACATGGTCTCTAACACACTGATCAAGCGGCATTAACCAGAATCTCTAAAGCCCCCTTGGTTTACTGGTTGCTCCTCACCCAATGGTAAGATGTAAACATCACTGGTCACCTCTGCCTATTTTTGAACTCTACATGAATGAATAGGTCCTTTCTGTGTATAGTGCTCCTTGTTCTTAACACTTACTATGTTTTCATTTTGTGTATGTATGCATGTGTGGGCACATGTGTCATGGTGTGTGATGTAGAGTTCAGAGGACAGCTGGCAGGAGTTGGTTCTCTCCTCACACTATGTGGGTCCTGTGAATGGAACTCAGGTCACTAGCACTATGGATAGGAACCTTTTCTCACGAGCCATCTTGCCTTTCCTTCACATACTTCATTTGTGAGATGCAGCCATGCTGTTTGTGGTCACCTGTTTATTCATTTCCATTCTGCATAACATTTCAATGTATAAGCACACATTATACTTCATGCATTCTATGTTAAAGGACACTGGCTCATTTCCAGCTTTAGATGTAAAACAGTAGTAATATGTGTATGTGTTGCAACACATAGTACATTTTTGTCCACATGTTACTTTTTTAAAGCAACCCACTAGAAATGTAGAAAGCATTTTGGGCCCCAAATGCATCTGTGGGCTATAGTTTGCTGACTCCGGATCAAGTCTCCAGTTACTGTGTTCTCATGCATGCCCCGTGGGAGTGTAAGGTCTTCCCAATGCTATGCTGATGTGCCGGTGCTGGCTCCTGGCATGTTTCTTTCTGCAGCACTTTTATCTGCAGGATGAACTCCATCTTCCCCATGTCATCCAGCTCTCCATCACTCCATCAGTCTTTAATGTCAGTCATTCTCCTGGGTGCACAATAGGATCTTACTGTGGTTTTCAATTTTCATTCCACTGACGACTGAAGAGCTCACACGTCTGCATATATAGGCATGGGCCGACCCCCTCTGTAAAGTGTCTGCTTAAATTTTCAGTCCATTCTTTTATTAGATTCTCTTACTGACTTTTAGTACGTTTCTTAATTTTAATCTGTGAGATTATGAATCTTCTGTGGGATCTATGAATTATAAATATTTTCTCCACATCTATGCCTCATGTTGTCTTAATGGTATCTTCTGGCAAATAAAAATTCATAATTTTAACAGTATGATGTAGTCACATGGATTAATGGCAGGGTGTTTTTAGGAGTGTGGAGTATGTTTATAGAAAATAAGATAGTGTCATAGTTTCTTTTTCTGTCATTTTAGATATTAGATAGTCTAAATTTACTTGCTTTCATAAAATACCCTGACAACTTAGAGGGAAAAGGTCTGTGTTAGCTCATGGTTGGCCAAACAACTATAAATATATATTAAGGCTCTGAGTGGTTATCTTATAAGCAGCTTTGCAGATCCAGTGAGTGGAGAGAAACTGGTAGAAAGGGACCCGGCTAGATAGAGAAAAGCCTTCCATTTACAGATTATCTTTAAGATTTAATTTTAATTATATGTACTTGGGTATGTCTGTGTGTAGCTATATGCACACAAGGTGTGCCTGTAGAGACAGAGCTGTTGAATCCCTTGGAGCTGGAGTTATGGGCTGTTGTCAGTCACTTTATGTGAGTGCTGGGAACTGAACAGAGGTAAGAGCGGTATGTAATCTGACCCTCAGAGCCATCTCTCCAGCTCCATACACTGAATCTTCAGCAAACTGATTGCTCCTGGATGGTGAATTGACTCATCTGATGGGGTCCAATGTCCATCTCTAAGTTTCTCTAAGTTTCTTATGGAATAAGATGAGATAATGGTAGACTTTTAAAAGTCCCATGTTGCTGAGTTTTTAATAATGATATGGTGCTGATACAGCTAGTGGATGTCACTTAAGGCTTCACTTTTCAAAAGTTACATATTAACTTTGTGAAGTAGATTTTCAAACATCTGAAATCCCTTTGCAACCAAGGAAAATTTTGCATTTAAAAAGATCACAAACTTAAGAGGTTAACATGGATAAATCAAAAGTACTGAAATTAAAGGCGATCCCTGCTGGCAAGAAAAGAGGTAGGCAGGAAGGAAAACTTGGGCTAGAATATTAGAAAAATGTTCTATGAAATGACAAATGATGTTGCTTTAGTCATTTTGGAGCCAGACTAGGCAAAGCCCTCGTGGAAATGGCTGGAACCGCATACACACATTTAAATAATTCATAACTTAGTAATTCATGGGTCAGATTAATCTTTCTTGGCATGCTTACTCATCTGAAAAAGATTTATTAGAAGAAAATTCCTTTGGGGTCGACAGGGAGGCGCTTGTCATCAACAGGAGAGAAACCACACACGGTAGCATCCATTGATAATACCCTGATATGTGAATACCACAGTGACTCATTCAGGAACATGAAACAAACACCCAGATCTGGAAGACAGACAAGTGCAGATTCCATGGCATTAAAACCTTCCGTGTGGGGCTGGAGAAATGGCTCAGCAGTTAGAGCACATATTGTCCTTGAAGAGGACCACAGCTGGATTCCCAGCACCCACATCAGGCAGCTCACAGGTGCCTGGAACTCCAGCTTGCTCCTCAGGCACAGACAGACACATACATTGCCATTAGAAATAAACTCCTACATGCAAATGTCTTTAGTGAAGCGGTCCACAGTGCTGTCAAAGCTCCAAGCTTCTTTAGTGTGTCTCCACATGAAGCTGCCAGTCTTATCACTTCCCACCCTCCCCTGCGAATCTGCTCTATCCTCATGTGTTCCTCTCTCTACTCATTTCCAGAGCTGGGATATAAGTATGTGAGTTCACCCAGCTTTGTGTACACCGTCACCTCCCACCTCAGCAGCCTGCAGTTTTTCCCCAATGCACTCTTGCCAAGCTTTATTGGACTGAATCATTATTGCCATCAGATTATATTAGGCCTTTCAAAGAGAGAGAGGATTAAAAAGCTGCCCCAAAATTTTCACCCCCCCTCCCCCATCCCACAGCCCCCATTGCCTAGATAATCTCCCATCCTCCTCCTCCTGGCCTCCAGCGTTCTACCCGTGTCTCATTCCCCCCCTTGATCCTGCTGGTACTGAATGCTTCCACAAGAGCCACAATCCAGAGAGACTCCCAGCCACTCTGCCGCTTGTATGTACCATTATCCAGTGTGTGTGTGGGTTGCCTTCCCTGGTGACTAAAGGTTCTCATGAAGGCCTTCCTATCTGAGGTCATTCAAACTTTTGTTTCCCCCTCTCGAGTGGGAAAGAGGCAAGAACAATAAGAATGAAAATGAAAACGACCATAGTACTAATGACTTCAACAATAAAAACAGTGAATGAGTGTTTCTGAGGGAAGGGTCCACTACTGTCGTGCTCTGGAGTGGCAGTGCCAACCATATTCTCTCATCAGTCTTCCAAAAGTCTGGACCACATGGAAGGCTCTCCTATCTATGGAGAGAATAAATGCATAGTGCAATCCTCCTTTCACAGATAAAGAAGTCACTGGTCCCAGGTCGCTTGTCTCAGCGACAGGGCTGGAAACTGAATGCCTGTGTTTGCTTCCTCCCCAGCTCCACACTTCCCTATCACAGGTTTGGGTGGCTGGAGAACAAGGGGATATCCCCCTGTGGCAAAGAGTGGCCAGCCCTGGGCTGGTTATCAGCTAAAAGGTGTGGCTGGTTCCAAATTGACAGTATGGTAAAAAAAAAAAAATCAGATGTCTGGAAGGTCTCTGAG